GTGGCTAATAAACCTAAAATAATATTTTATTATTTAATCAAATATCGAGTAATGTGTACAATATTTTTTTTAAATAGGGCACCAAATTTTTTACAACCTATGGGCACTGTAGATCTTAATCCGGGCCTGAAACTACAGCAATAATAATACAAATACTACGCATATAACACATTAATTTACTTATAGCTATATTCAGTGGCGCCTACAGGTTTTTCATGAACCAGAACAGTTTTAATTGCAAGGCCCCTAAATTTATAATTTATACATTTATTTAACTTTATAGTTATATTAGTTATTATATTTGATTACATGTTTGGTACTCTTAACACCTAACGTTTCATTCAAAGATCTAAAGATCCAGATGATAAATACTAAATGTAGTATAGTATAGTATACGTAATACGGGCGTGTGTAAATTCTGCCCGAAAAATAAAAATATACTAGTAAAAATGGTAATATTTATAATAATAAAAAAGAGTCAAAATATAATCATAATCAATAATTGTTAATTAGCATATTATCAAATTCCTTTCATATTATTATTTTTATTTGTCGAAATCCCCAAAATAATGAGCCACATTTTCTACATATTGGTCTATAAATATTTCATTATTTTTCAATTTTTCAATCACCTATATTTTGCATGTGTATATATTTTTTACTAAAAACACAATTATTATTTCAGATTTAAAAAAACTAATTATTTTTAATTTTAAATATATATATCCTATGGTACTTACTAACAATTTATTTCCACGTTCCGATTCATCAATAAATTGAGCTGCCATTATAGGTACGTGCGTTTAAGACTAAACGAAACTTAAGTGTTAAGTGATCAAATAATTTATATTTTATAATACTTCTATCTGATATTTCCAATTGTTATATCTTATATTATCCACAATATTGTAGTCAAAGCTGATGAGATATGACATGATTGACGATTGTTCAGTGTATGCACATTTGGAACTTACTAAGATAACACGCTACGTAGCGAACAGTACCTACGGTCGTGTCAACGCGTCGTAGGTACAGTCACGGAACGCTTAGCTTAAAAATATTTAATTTCCGGACGGAATTTACATGTAGGTACCTTTTTTTTGTTTGGATATTTTCCCGGGCGGAATTCACCATACCTATATCTAATTTTTACCTGTTCATTTCGAGCGGAATTTACAATCCCCCCGTAATATTGTGGGCTGCGTGTCCCGAGACCCGTGTGGAATCAGTGCAATTTCACTACTATTGGGTACCTACGACCCTACGTGTGCGCCTCTATCTATATTCAACTGCAGCCGTTGAATTGACGGGTGTGTGGGTGGACGGAGTCCGCGTATTATTTAAAAAATACATATATATATCATAAATAATTATTGTAACTTTATACATCATACCGGCTACCGTATAATAGTATTCAGACTGTTATACCCAAAAACAAAAATTGTATGAAACACGRTTCGAAAGGAAAAAACCTGAAAATTCAAAATATTTATGCTCAAACGTTATCACAAAATTGAAAATACAGATCTTTAATTGTCACTTAGAATAAATAGATAAAAGTATAAAACACACTCCGTYAAAATTAGTTGTTCGAAATCATAAAATAGAGTAAGCAAGCGCTCTCGCAGGATAAAATATACCACCCAGCAGAGCGTAATAGAAATTACTCATAATCTAATATTAGTTATAGACTTATAGTGATGTTGATATTTAAGTACATGCAGTTAAAAATTCCCAGTGCGGGCGAAGCTTCTACAGACTATAGTATATTTTATAGTATGTGGAACTCCTTTTCTTCAGAAACGCAGGATACCTTCAACACCATAAATTCAGTTCGTTATCGACTAGGTATTGTAAATTTATTGAATCGCTCGAAATATTTAGTTTTTGATGCATTAAAAACCTATTATTATTATGACGTTTTGCACGAATCTCGCTAGACATTACAGACCACAGTGCAGTATTTTACGTTCGACATTGTCAAAATGTGAATTTTAACTAATTCGAATCGATTACAGTCGTTCTTGAATTTCGAATTCAGGAGACTCGATGTTGTAAAATTGCCAATTGATACTAATTAACATACGTATGCCATATGACAATAAAATAACCACCAAGGCCATATTAAACTTTTTATTGTTCATTATACGCATTATACATGTTACACTAATACAGCTAAAATCATAATTCATAAATAATTGGAAAGGACAGTTATTAGAAAGTGCATTTGGTCAGAATAAGTTTTTAACATCATTCAATTTATAAAAAGGTAATTTACAATAAATTGTGGACTTGAAAATGAATGAAGCAAGGAATCTTATAGGGTGATTTTTAATTGTTATACACTCCATGCTCACATACCATTTAAAACCACATTAAAAAAAAATTATTAATAAAGATTGAATTTCTTAGCCCTTGCAAGTTGCAATGCTTGCATAGCTGCATTATATCAACCATGAACATTGTTCATTGTTGTGCATTCGCATTATTTTCAAGTGTTTTCTTATTATTCAAATCTTTGTCACGTGGCTCTTCAATTACTTCATACTGTGATCAACATTTTATTATTATAACTTAATACTATATTTAATATTAATTATACACTGTACTTATCCTTATACCACATAGTCTCATCTTCTCRCATTGCAGTTTTAACTAACATGGTTCTAAACCTATAATGGTTTATAGTGTTTATGCTAAGTAGATATCGGTAATACCTATCCAAGGGTAACATTTGGTGAAATKTTTTGTATCTGTAACAAGCTTAAAATGTTGGTTTTTAACTTTTAAATTACCTAGAAATTATCAATCTAAAAAACCGAAAATCTCTAAGTAGTATTAAATTTGTTCACTAAGAACTTTATCTTTTTATCAAGATTACAACAATTCTTTAAAATATAAATAATTAAATTAATTTAAAGTCAAGAATAGAATTCCTGGATTTGACTAACAAGCCACCAATGAACTATAAAAGTCGTGTGTGTCGCATCATGTTGTAAAAGTGTATYAAATAACTTTCCCTAAACAGAATATGCTTAGAACAATAAGATGTATTGTAGGCAATGAACTCTATGAATTCATTTAGCCGATTGTAACGGTAACRAGTAATAGAACATGTTGCTATTTAGTATTTACTATATACTAATTAATCCTACAAATTAGTACAATGAATAAAGAATACATTGCATATGAAGAACACCTCAAACAACTCATAAATTAAAATCATATATATTTGTATACAAGAAACTGTTAACCAGGTCACGAATTAGCTTAATATCAATTAAATATTAGTATTCATAAGAAAATCCACGGCACACACCTGTTCAAATCAGAGGATTTGACATGATTTATAAGGAAGATCAGAAGACAACAGAAGGAGTAGTACCATATCCATTAACACCCGAGTACTTTCATGCCACATCCATMAATATTATAATTTGTTCACAGTTGAAAACTGTTTATTAACCATTATTTAAAAACCACTTTCATCTGGATCGCTGGCAGCTGGCATACAACAGATGTGACTAGACAAMAAAATGAAACAATTCCAAACTGCGCAAGTTCAGGACGACTATATTTTATCTTAAAATATATTAACTATATCAATATGAATAAGTTTCAATAAACAAAAAATGCAATTTACCTAATAAAAGTATTTTATTACTCAATCATTAAATTAATCGTAAAACATACTTATCTGTATAAAATACATAAGAAACATTTATTTTACAAACAAGAAAATTATATTATTACACTTTAAATGTTAATTAAACACGATAACTCATTTCTGTATATTCTAAATTCTAAGACTTTTAAAAACCAAACTCTAATTTTTCAGATTGTAGTTCGTCGTTAGAAACTTAATAAAAAAATTAAATAAATATTCCAACTTAACTAATAATCCATATGCTCAATATTTGTTTATGTATACACATTTTACAATGCAACATTGGCTAACATTTACCCTAAGGTGTTACAATCATAATTAAAAACCAATTAGTGTACAATTGTCATTGTATAATGAACAAAAATAATAAATTTATTTATTTACTAAATCTTTAGTAACTTAAGTTAATAATTGAATAATCATGAATTACAGTTTACTTAAATAACTAATAAGATTAAGCATTTATTACCCCAAAACATAATATATTTATAAATTTTAATTTTATTGAATTTTGGAGAAAAAAAATATAATTTTAAAATACACATCTGCATTTTTGTGAAATGTGAGTTATAAATTGTTACAAAAAAAAATGTGATATATGAATTTAGTAAAATTGCATACATTGATGGTTTAGACAAATATTTTATTTATTAAATAATGCAGAATGTACTGCATCTAAATCATAACCGACATACGCTGATGGTTTATACATATCAGCACCACGTGAAGGCATTCTACGACTTGTTCTAAAAAAAAATATAATTTAAAGTCAATGTTCTCTTTTTCTTTCAAATAATGACCTATAGTGACATAAACCCTTCAATGAAACAGTTAAATAAATTATTTTCTTAGTATTAATTATTTACCCAGATACAGATATTGGCCCAGTGTTAGAACCAGCATTCCTCACCATGTCACATTTCATAGGCCTGCCATCCAGCTGTCGGTTGTGATATACATCTACTGCTTGAATAGCATCAGCACGGCGATTATAAATCACTTCAGCAACACCCGGTCGAATCACTTTAGAATCTAATAAATCCCCTATATCCGCAAAAAGTTCCTAAATAAAATATAAATAGACAAATGATTAATCAAATGATATTTGGGCAAATCACAGGTTGATATCAAAATAGCAAAGATATGATTAAATACATGCCTATTAAAAATATATAAAAAAATTCTAATTGGCTTTGTATATAATATTTTGTTAAATACAATGATTACAGCATGATGAAATGTGATTTTAAATATATACATACTCTTATATCTTCACATGTCACTGATGGTTCTAAGTTGGATATAATAATTTTATGGCCTATAGGTGGTCGTGAACGTTTAGCTAAGGCTACTTGATGAGAGTCCAATCTTGAACGTAACGTTTCACTCAATCCTCTATGATTTCTGCAAAAAAAAAAATCAATTATCAAAAGATAATGTTATCTTTTAAAAACCAAAATACCTAATTGGAGATTTTATTATATTTCAAATTTGTTATAACTAATTGAGGCTTCAACATTTAATTAAAATAATTGAAATGTAAAAAAAAAATGAATTYGTTTATTGTTAACCGGTTAATATATCAATAAAAGTTTAAAGTAGTGAGTAGTGGATTAGGGTAGCAAATCATAAAGAAATCAATTTTTCTGTTTTCTTGAATTTTAATTTAACACATAAAGAAAAATTAATAGCGACGAAGTAGTAACCACTTTAATTTACAAAACACCAGCTTTTCATAAAAACTATTTTGATACTTAGTCATAACTTTAAAACTAGGATAGTTAATGGATACTCTTACAGATTATAATAGCCAATAAATACAAATATAAATATATTTAGAGTATTTTTACAGTTTTCAGAAATGATGGACCCTACCAAACATAATATTAAATGATTGAAAATCTGTTCAATTAGTTTCACGAAACCTAATAGTAGCTTTTCAAATAGTAGAATAGTCAGATAAAATACAAAATAGTTTTAGGGTATACCATTAGTTATAAAAATATATCCATAATTGTTTTGAATTTTTAACTAAGAATAATTTTATCTATTTTTAAATTGATTACATTTTAGAAGAATAAAAAGTATATAAATTATAAAAYAATTTAATTTACCTTGAATTTCTATCTGATAAATCATCTTGATATCCATCATGATTGAACATTGTGTTTCCTACATTCCGTCTCATTACCTTCAGTAAATTTAAAAATACATTAAACTGTATTTTAATATTTAATTTAATATTGCTAATTTTTATTTACTGGTGCTGGAGAATATCTATTTGTATCTTCCCATTCCATTGAATCCTCATAATCCATTGCCATAGGTCTATTATATGGTTTATCATTAATTCTCATTGGTCTTGTAGGACGCTCTGGCGGTCGTCTCATAGACTGTGTATTTGGAATTGGACGTCTTGATATTCTCATATCCCGTCTCACCGGTCTAATTTCTTCAATAGGTCTGTCACCTTACAAAAATTAAACACATACTCATTACTCAGTAAAAACGCAAAGAAATATAAATCTATAAAATTGTTACTTCTAAATGTATTCAGCTCTGAATTGAAAGTATTGCTGCTGCGTCTTTTTTCTACAGTATCAAAACGTCCTTGATTTACAGAAGGCAGTCTGTCTGGTCGTCTTTCTCTATAACTAGAATGATGTGAAGATGCTCTTTCATCCAAAATAGACTTGACAGTAAGAATACCACGACGGTCAATTTTTACTCGACCTAAGTTATTGGAATGGCCTCTTGATGTGCCTATATCTTGTAGTGTCTAAACATAAACAATTAAAATTTTAATCACAGATTAAATGCAGAACTATAATTTTGGACATAAAATATAAACTCTACCAGTTTTGCATCAAGCATCAATTTTTTGGTACCTTACRGTTATCAAATCATAAAATATATAATAAATTTGAGCACCCCATGGAGACTTATTTTTGTACCCACAAATATACCAGGTAAGTAGTATAGTATAGTATAGTAGTGAAATTATTCCACTGAAATAGCACATGTTGAGTACCAATGGTTACAACATTGAGTATGCAAAATGGACATCTTATTTTTAGTATCCATAACTATAGATAACTTATCTTACTTAATTATCTCTTAGTACATACTACATAGTATAAATTAAACAGTGTCAATCTATCAACTGTTTGTCATTAGTTCAAAAAAAAATATTTAAAAGTTTAATTTTAAAGGTTTGTTTTAAGCCATAAATTTTAATGATAGTGTAAAAATGAACAGATTATCACTTACATACATTCACAGGTAGGTACATATACATAACTTAAAAATAACATTTCATTTCATATAGCACTTAATCAATATTTTATTATATTTTAACTCAATCCTCTACTTAAGCCCATACATGGTCCAAGACAAAAATGTATACCTACGGTTAATCAGACTGAAAAATATTCAAGTTTGAAGTTCAACTAAACGATCAGTTATATTGTTAGATGGGTAAATATAATATGATTATTATAWTGTAATATTGTATATTCAAATATACCAGGTATGCAATCTGTGTGGTGTATCATTAATATAAGATATTCACAAACAACATTTTAACTGTAAAAAGATAACAGTTACTCGAGGAGTCTTAAAAAAATATAATCAAGAATACACTATCCAAAAACACAAAATGTTAAGGAGCTTAAAACGAACTGATGAACCTAACAAATAACAAATATTGAAACAAATTACAAGTGTTAGCAAATGATAACTTCTAGGGGCTACTAAATGATTAGATTTTTTAAATGTATAAACAAATATCTAGTTTCTATTTCTATTAAGTATTGTATAAAGATAATGATATTGATAGTTTTCAATACATAACACCTTATATTTGATAAACTATTTTTCTGAAAATCTTTAAGAATTTTAATATTTAAATTATATTACAACTTATTTTAAATAATGGTAATTAACAAACAAGATACTTACATCATATGATGTCGAATGTAAACGACGTTCCTGGATCTTTTCACGAGCATCTTTTTGATTTGTTAACTTTTGTCTAGCGTCTACTATCACTGTTGGTTTTTCTAAAGCTTTTTGCAAAAGTTTAACACGAGCATCAACCACATTAATTGCTACTCTAGCATTATTCTTAGACATCCTATTTTTATTGTTAAGTTTGCCATTTGTAGAGTGTTTTTGAACGGCTTTTAAACGTTTCATCTTGGCTGCTTTATTAGCTGCTGCTACACGTAAACGATTACGAGTACCCCCTTGCAGAAGAGATTGAAAAGCTTTAGTACGTCTATAACACAATTATGAAAATAAATCAATAATTTAGAACTTCAGGCATTTTTGTTTTAAATAAATTTCTTTGGACCATTAAGCATCAATTATCATATAATATATTCTGAAAAATCTACTACAGACAAGATATAGTATACACAAAATGGTTTAAATTTACCCTGATTGGCCATTTTGTGGTCTCTTTCCTTTTATGAACTTCATATTATTTTCTCCTCGTTGTTGAAACCGAATACAAACGTCTTATTATTTTGGAATATTAAATTAAGACTCCACAAATCTAAAATCATCAAACCTAAGGACAAAAACGAAAAACGACAATGCGGGAGTCGCAAAAAAAAAATTGTGAAGTTCTATATCAAATATCAATACATCGGTTTAGAAACAAAAATACTAATTTAGAAAAATATTTGCTAAAATGGTTATTAGTTATTACTTGAACTTGTGTTTTGATAGATCCAAATTAATAAATTTCATAAACATGAATGGTGAACAGTGTGGCCAACAAAACTGAAAATGTATTTATTTTCTCAGTAATATAATATACCAGTGATTTCATCTATTCTGTGCCAGTGTCCAGTAATTAAAGGACAAAGTAAATAAAAATAAAACTATTGGGTGCATGCCGCATGGTATGATTGTTCAAGTTGTATATTCGTCCGATCTTCAAAACTATAAACTATTGCACACTGATGATGGATTTACCCCAACCTTATACTCTCGAAAATCTGAATAAAATGTAATACATTTTCTACGCTCTTAACGACCAACCTGGACGTYTTAAACCGCCTGCATTGCAGTAACAAAACAAAGTGTAAACCGTCAGTGATAATTGAATGATAAGTGATACTGATAACTGGGAATATTCAATATTCATATTTCATAACAAACAAGAATTATTTATAATTTTTAAATTTTTTCCTCTAAATTACTTTTTTACATTAATATTTATTATCTTTCAATCTTTTTTTGCGTTTCATTTAAAGTTATTATATATATTCATATAAACATAATGTATAATAATTTATATAGCATTTACTCAAAAATGTAAAAGGCCATGATGAAAATAATGGAGTGGGTCTCTGTTACTTTTTACAGTGCCATTCTAAAGTAAACCCCAAAATTTTAAACCTAATAACTTATGATTGAATTAAACTCTTGACTGGCAATGAATATGAATGGTAATTTTTGGCGACGGGAGTCTTCTTTTTGTATGACAGATGAAGTACAATATCCAAGGATGGTAGCCGACGAACGACTCGCTTATTGGGCTCATTGCCATAACTATCAATTATTGAACAAGATAGGTGAAGGTTCATTTGGTAAAGTTTTTAAAGCCTTACACACAACAACCAATTCAATAGTTGCCTTTAAATTTATTTTCAAGGTATAGTCAGGTTCACCAGTCTAATGCGCCTTTGCATGTTACTTTGTTTTTAATTTTAAATAAAATATGTCTTTTAATTTAGCTCGACAAATTAAAAACATTACAACAGGAAGTTGACATTCAACAAAAATTACACCATCCAAATATTGTCAAAATGATCGAGTCATTTGGAAATGAGAATGGGGTACGATATTAACTCTATTTGTTTATTTAACTCTCTTCTAACCAAAATAAACAAGTAATTAAAAAATGTTGGATGATTTTTGACATAATAACATATATAACAATRTATCTTACTTCAGCTGTCACACTAATGTTGATTTAAGGCAAGATCCTTATTGATTTCACATCAATATCACTCAGTACTATTTAATGGCCACCAGTTAAATTTTGATTGATGGAGTGAGATCATTGTCAGCAATTGAATATCTAACTGGTATAATATTTGTATTGATATTTTTTTTTATTATGGTAGATTGCTTTGGTCATGGAGTTTGTGCCTCGATCACTCAAAGAAATCATAGAAACTGAAGGTATACTAAGTGAAGAAAGAACACAAGTGATTATATGTCACCTTGTATCAGCTTTACACTATTTACACCAGAAAAATATTTTACACAGGTACCTAATTTTTTTGTTTTTTCACACAATACTCTTTACTAAATAATATTAATATTTAGGGATTTAAAACCACCAAATATTTTATTGGACAACAATGATGTTGCAAAATTATGTGATTTTGGTTTAGCAAGGTTTATGTTAACTGGTACTCAAGTATTAACTCAAGCATCTCTCAAAGGAACTCCTCTTTATATGGCTCCTGAAGTGATAAATTCTCCTGTTATACCTCCAATATACAATCACAATGCGGATTTATGGTATAAAATAAATATTAATGATTTATCAAAAATTAAATACTGTTCATACATTTGTATCAATTATTAATTAATTTAGGTCATTGGGATGTATAGCTTATCATTTACTTTGTGGAAAACCTCCATTTGATACAAAATGTTTGATGCATTTAGTTCAAATGATGAAAGACCAAYCAATAGTTTGGCCAGATACTGTTTCAGCTGTTTGTCAGAACTTTTTAGAACAGCTATTGCAAAAAAATCCATTACAAAGGTTAACGTGGCCTGGCCTATTAGAACATGAATTTGTAAAAAACAAAGTATACATAATAGATATGGATCAAAATGAGGAAATAGATTTCTCAACAGAATTTGATGATATTGTGTCACCTTTAAACTCAATGAAAATAAATGAAGAAGAAGAACTAGGAGAAGAAGAAGAAGAAGAAGAAGAAGAAGGGGAAGGAGACAAAGAACCCTCGGATTCTTCTACTGGTCATGATTTTACATCTATAGAAGACACGTATAACATTTTCCTGATTTTATGTAGAAGAAAAATATTTTCAACATTTTAGGACTAATAGTATTGCATTTTTTATAGAACTGAAGAAGAYTTGCGTTCAAGTCAGTCTGGTTGGTGTTCTGAAACTTGCCAAGAGTTAGATGTGGGTTGTGATAAAACTAATTCTACGTCTGATAATACAAATTCTAATGATTTTATGAGTGAAGAATGGATTGTATTTCTACGACAAAGTGCTTCTGAAGTAATATTTTAATTACTTTCTATATCTATACTATTTATAAACTAGAGAGAAGCTTTTTGTGTTGTAATTCTTCTTCAAAACTTCTMAATTGATCCAAATGGGTTTTTCTCAATTGGATTGTTTAGTCCACTGATAAAGTATTTAACAAAGTTTCATAGATCTAACATCTGCCCTCAGAAAATTGAAATGAAAATAGGCTCATGGTGGTTTTAGGGAAGAATTTCTTTCTAAAATATATTTATGAATATCATTAACAGTAAAWATTATAATAGTTTTAAAATGTAAAAATTTAAGTACACTGGGGCTTTGAAATGTCTTTGAACAAGAGGAAGAAAACCTTTGTTTTGTTCCATGATTCTACATTTATC